GACTTGTTAAAATGATTATATCTTAGCGTTTTACCTTCTAAAGCAAACTAGACAGCTTTTGATAGAACTCATTCCTTACTTATTTCTAACTACAGTCGTTTTGGGCATAAGTGGAGGTCTTTAAAAGACATATACAAGTATCATCACTTACAAATTATACATCTTAGCCTGTCTGTCAAAAGGTACAAAATTCCTGGTTAGTGAGTTGTATTGTTTGACTTGGAAAAAGTTTACTGACATTAAACATTCCACTATGAAGTTGACAGAGTGGTTTCTAGAGACTGTCAGAAATTTTTTTCTGACACTGTTCTATATCAATGGCCTGAGAGTTAAGAGGAGGTGAGGGAGCTGCCTGTGGGAGGAAAGCAAGAACATAATGGTTGTGTTCAAGAAATTATGTGCTTACGAAAGTGTCTAGGAGGTTACGAATTACCGGTTCCCAAACCGTGGAAGTTGATTTCTTCTCAGGGTACCTGAAAAAGAAGCAGGACTAGTGTTGCATGACCGCAGACTTCATAAGACAACTGACTGAGGCCCGTCACACACAACCGGTTTGAAGTAGTTTTTGAAGTTGTATCCCTCCGGAGATCTTAGTTCTGCCTACCAACCGTTGCAAAGCAAGTCAGACGTGGAATATTGTCTTACCTTCACGCTTCCTCAGAGCAGAAAAACAGCATAACTGACTCATTAATCGTTCGAAGGGAACACCCTATCGCGTTTACATCCTTACTCAACGTCACTTTCAGATCCCTAACATTGTCTGAGGGACTTACACTGTAATAGTGACTGTCTTTAGTCTGACCACTATGTAAACGACATTTCTGGGATGGTACGTTCTTCAGTAACATTCGTCCTAGCTAGTGTGGCTTTTTGTATCATTTCGATTTTCAAACTCATCTGTTATGTTAAGGTAGAAACTATCAGTTGGGCTTTATCAAAGTGGAAGGAAATTGTATTTTGATGATCACAGAAGAAGTAGTATTGTAACGACAGAAGGCAAGGGCCAGGTAACAGATCGTTTATGGAGAAAACCAAGAAATATTTATAGATTTTCATGTACATTATTATTAGAGTTATTGTTAGGCGAGAAGCAACGTCTTCTGATTGGTTGTTTCCTTGACGAAGTTTATTCTGTACTGCTTGTGACGGTTTCTCAGAAAGTTAAATGATATATCTGAGAATCGCATTTGCACAGGTCAAGTCTGCTGTGGTTGGTTGGCGAGTTCCTCAAGGTTAGGGTTTGTTATTGTTTTTTCTCATGACCCCGATTCGGGACGTGAACATTGACGTAAATTGTTGTTTACAGTTTCGGTTTGCAGACAGCTGTCACCACGGTATGACCAGGATACTTTCAAGATTTTAAGCCTGACAATAATTTATACTTAAAAAGAGTTTGGAAAGAAAAATACCATAGTCAACCATGTTTTTGTTGTATGTAGTTTCAGAATTTAGTATTTTACCTAAGAAATCGTCTCCTTGCATAATCTTTTAAATCACAGAAATCTATTTTGTACCATATTCAGTAATACGTACTTGTAACCTAAACTAGTTGTATTTTTTAGTTTAAATTTGATATTTATAGCGATATTCATTGTAGTTTTCATAGTAGGATTTCTCGATGAAACTACTGTCCAATAAAAACAATTTGATTATAAAAGTTTTTGTATTTCCCAATGAAAAGCGATGATTAATTTGCTGTGTATTATATAAGCTGAGATTTTGTGAACCCTGGTTAAAATAATACTTTGACAAAGCTATTATTATTATTGTTCCCTTGGGTTCCTAGTGGAACATAGGGTTTCAACTGCACGTCTCCACTTGCTTCTGTCTTCTGCTGTACTTTTCGCCTGCATCCATGTTAGTCCATACTGCCTCAACTCCTCTTCACACGATCTCCTCCATGTCACCCTTGCACTGACGTCCCACTCGCCACTTCTCTTTCGGGTTCCACTCGAGCAATGGCCTGACGCGCGCGCGATATCACCCAGCGGCCTTCACAGCGATTAGTGTCCAATCGATCTCCACTCTCCCCTGCATATTTGTTGGTTGGTGATTGCTTCTTGTTTTGTTTGTTTCTTCTCATAGTTTCTTGTTGGTGATTCTTTCCGGCCCGGCCATCTGATCTTCAGTATAAATCCAACGAAGACAGTTAGTTGTTGATAAATGTCTGCAACAGGCTGTTGGGAATATTCTTTATGACCCATCCGCCAACTTTCTGATCCGTATAGAAGAACTGACTTGACGTTTGTATTGAAAATCCGACCGAATTTTGTTGTTGATGTTGGCTGAGTGACGAAGATTTGCAGATTGATTTCAGGTTGATGAATAATGTGTTTCTCGCCTTCCCGATTCTCGCTCGATTTGACATCCTCGTCCGTTCCGACTGCATGTAGTTGAGACAACGCTCCCTAGATAAGTGAATGAAGTAACCTCTTTCAAATCCCTCCCGTTGATGGTGATTGGCGCTGGATGTTGCTGCTGCTGCTGTTGTTATTGTTGGCTGGTTATTTTCATCACCTCCGTCTTGTCTATGTTGACTTGGAGTCTTTCCATGTTTTCGCCGGCTGCTTCTTCGACCAGTTTGTCGGTTTTCGCTTGTAGGTCTTCGATTTTATGTGACATCAAGCATAAATCATCCACGCGCGAAATCCAGATCTTCTAGGTTCTTCACGTCGGTCCAGTAGATAAAGCTATTACAAGCAATAAATATCGAGCGGCAAGCAAGAACAATATCGTTTTGTTTTCTGTTCATTGGGGAATACGAAAGCTTTAATAATAATAATAAATATCATATAGCTAATGCCTAAATTTTCTTCATACTATTAAAAGGGAACTTGTTTTAGACATAGAAAACAGTTTTGTTTTTATTGGTCGAAATTATCGTAAAGGTTATTCTTTGCTCGCTTATTTTGTGTTTTTTTATTGATCTCTGTTAGTTTAGACTATTTGATTAATAGATTAGAAGTGTTATTTGTACAACATGAAAATTGAGTGTATATGGTGTCTGTGATTTTATGTAGCTGTGTCTAATGGACAGAGTTTCTTCCCTTGTTTTCATTTCAGATGTAGTAATTCTGATAATTAAGTTTATTTAAATATCTTAATCTATGTATAAAACTTGGGCACTGGTAGTATGTAATTCCATATTAATTTGTTTATTAGATATATCACACATTGAAACAGTATTATTTACTGGATGACTTTTTGCACAAAATTTATTGTTCAATTGATATGATATCAATTGTAATCACACGACATCGAAAATTCAGTTTTATAGTTTTCCTTGTTTCCTCCTATTTGTCATCGTTGGGGTAGTAGAATTTTCCAGATATCCAGCTGGGCGGGTGTTGAATCACTCCTATCTATTACACGTGTTTGCAGTTGATTCGATAAAAATAAAGCTTCTGTTATCAGTCTCTCCCTCCACCATGTCACATTAGATTTTAAAACTGTCATCTTATCCCATCCATCCTGTTGTATGGTTGTGTGCAATTGCATGCAGTGAGTGATATAGCTGAACTATTCTCTAGATTCTTTATCTTATTTGGGTCAACTAATCTATATTTTACTAGGTTTTTATGCTCGGCTAGTCTGACTGCCCCTGTTCTGCCACTTTGACCTATGTATTTGATCAGACAATCATTCCAGCAGGGTGTTGGATAAACTAAATTGTTTTGTCCTAAAGGCTTCACAAGATTGATCCTTTAACCGACAAAGCTTGTTTCTAATTTAGTTTGTGGGTGGTTTGAATGGTAGCCACTTTTATTCCTGTCTTGTTAAGAATTCTGCATAAAGCTTCCGAGGTTCTTTCTTGTTCAAATGTGTGGGTTTTTTCGGACTTCCGATCATCCCATCCTATGTCAGTAAAAATAGGATTGGTGAAATGTTTAAGTGGCAGAGCACAAAAACCAAGTAGTACCAAGGAAAATCTAAGACAGGAAGTGATACACATAAACGAAGCCTTGAAACTTGATAATTATCCGGATAAATTATTCAGGATATATGAAGGGAAATGTAAAAATAAAATAAATAATGATAGTACCGATAGTGATAATAATAACATTATTAATGACGACACCAACAATAAGGAATCTAAATCATCAGTAGTAATTCCATACAAAGAGGGAACCTCGGAAACCTTACGCAGAATTCTTAACAATCCACGCAGGAATAAAAGTGGCTACCATTCAAACCACCCACAAACTAAATTAGAAACAAGCTTTGTCGGTTAAAGGATCAATCTTGTGAAGCCTTTAGGACAAAACAATTTAGTTTATCCAATACCCTGCTGGAATGATTGTCTGATCAAATACATAGGTCAAAGTGGCAGAACAGGGGCAGTCAGACTAGCCGAGCATAAAAACCTAGTAAAATATAGATTAGTTGACCCAAATAAGATAAAGAATCTAGAGAATAGTTCAGCTATATCACTCACTGCATGCAATTGCACACAACCATACAACAGGATGGATGGGATAAGATGACAGTTTTAAAATCTAATGTGACATGGTGGAGGGAGAGACTGATAACAGAAGCTTTATTTTTATCGAATCAACTGCAAACACGTGTAATAGATAGGAGTGATTCAACACCCGCCCAGCTGGATATCTGGAAAATTCTACTACCCCAACGATGACAAATAGGAGGAAACAAGGAAAACTATAAAACTGAATTTTCGATGTCGTGTGATTACAATTGATATCATATCAATTGAACAATAAATTTTGTGCAAAAAGTCATCCAGTAAATAATACTGTTTCAATGTGTGATATATCTAATAAACAAACTAATATGGAATTATAAGACGGAAGTTTGGAAGGTGTGTGCTTATAATTTATATAATTCCTTAAATATCTCTTTTTAATCAGAGGATTCTTTCTTTTTCCTTTTTAGATAAGCCTTAACATGTCAACTAATATATTTTTATTGTCATCACTTTTCGTCTTGTTGTTCAACTAATCTTTTCATCTATGATTAAACATATTTACCGAAGTAATAAAATGATTTTCAGTTCAATGCATCAAGCTTATCGTTTTCTATCATCTCAAACATATTATGATGTATTAGGAGTGAAAAAATCAGCTAGTCCCAGTGAAATTCGTTCAGCTTTTATTGAACTATCAAAAAAGGTATTTCAAAGCAAAAAAAATTGTGTATACATATATTTTTAATTTCTGCACAGTATCATCCAGATAAATATCGTGGTGATAGTGAAATGTTCAAAAGGATAAATGAAGCTTATTCTGTTTTATCACAAGAGAAAACTAGACGGATGTATGATGCCACTTTAACATCATCGTCTAGTGCTAAATCATCGCCGTATTATAGTCAACCATGGAGTGATTATGACAGGACAACTGGGGCGTATGAATATATTTTACATAGGTAAGGTTAATTGGTACTATTATTATCATTGTTAATTTGCTTTTGGTATTCTACGAAGTTTTTTGACACCGTTTCTTGACATACCTATCACAATGAAGTGAAGATAACAGATTTTAAATTCGAGTGTAATACCATAATTTATTGTAATATACTTTTTATCGATATTAAGCCAATCAACATCTAACGGTGGTGTCCGTCAATCGATGGAGGTTTTGGAGTTACATCGTTTGAGATGGCTAGCAAACTTGTTCATGCCAAGCCGTCGTCTTCCTTAATGAGCACTGCTAGCTGACATAAGGTTGGGCCGGAAAATAGTTAGGGTTAGTCAAACCAAAATCTGCCATTGGTCGATGAAGTCTTTGACTGTTGGTTCGAACCAGTCGCATACAGCAGTGTAGACTGTCTGGCTGCTATTCTTCGAATGCAAAGTATCAATGACTGGAGATTATTAATGATATGGTTCAAAGTCGTTGTCACTGGCGCAGATGCATTGTTGAAAATTTGGATCTTGCTGCTTTTACTAATTGCAATAAATCTCCACACTCGAGAGCATCTCGAACCACGATGAGTCCTCTTGCTGTGTTGTCTACTTCCAATTTGGCTGGTATTCATGTCACCCATTAGAATTTTGATGTCATCATTTAAAGTCTTGTCTACTACTGCTTGCATTTATCTGTAGAAATCCTCATTTTCTTTATCGTCTACGTTGTTTTTGGCAGCGTGGCTTTGCATAATTGCAACTTTCACTCCTTTTGAATCGAATCTTACTGTTATGATTCGCCAATAGATTAGTTTCCACTGGATGAGAGTCTTCGATGTTGTTGGTGACATCATGATAGCTACTCCATCAGTGTATTCTCGCCGATCATGCACATGGTTCGGGGTTCGAGCCCACGCCGGCGCACACCTGGTATCTATGGTCGGCCTGCAAAATTTGGGCTACCGATATCCATGCTGAAAATTCCATACTTGTACCAAAAATACAGTGTGGAATCAAGCTGTAAATCAAAAAGAAAAATAAATAAAAGATAGCTACTCCATCAGTGTATTCGTGGTTGTCGTTTCATTGACTGGAATAGCTTATTTACTCTTCAATTAACAATTTAGAATGTCTTCTTCCATTTCATCTGCTCTCACAGATACCTATCATTTGTATACCATATATTGCCATTTCTTCTGCAATCTGAGCAGCTTCGCCAGCTTCAAACAAGGTGCGTACATCCTATATCTCCGTGCTTCTTTCCGATTTCATCAAAAGACGATACGTCAGCTGACAGCCTTCTTGAGGGCTTCTACCAGCCCTTATCGTCTCGTCTTCCACAGGAAAATAACTTATCCTGAATTTTTTCTGTGCTTCCAAGTTTCTGTAGCGATCACGTTGATTTCCCAGGATAGGGTCGCTTGCCCCACGCCCATCCCTCCCTATCTTTTCGAGCTGAGGACCGGCTAGTAAACTAGTAAATAAGAGTTTTCTACGGTGTCGACAGTGAGTAAAGTCGTGATGTTCAATAAGTAACAAAAATACTATGTAAATCAGTTAATGACCCTCCTACTGTCAACAAATCTTTGATTATCATTGCCATTACTTGCATATTCCCTGAAATCAACAGAAAGTATTGGACAGCTGTTTTGTCCTAGTTTGGGACTCTTCAACACCACCAAGGATCGATCGATCGTAGAACCTTCAGGTTACAAGATAAGATTGTTGATAGAAGTTAGAATTCATGGACCATTGGATGGATTGGTCGATTAGCTAACCTTGTAACATAAAGGTCTCAGAGTTCTCTCTGTAGTGGGGTCATGGATGCATACTTCTGAAGAGTCAAAAAATGAAGCCTCCTGGTTTCCAATGATTTTTCGAATGAAGTGATTTGATGATCAAATTTGAAGTATATTAACTGTTAACTATAAGTAATGTATTGTTTGTTTACTTGTTTTTATTTATATAATGGATAGGCGTAGTATGGATTATCGAAAACGAACAGTAAATAATAAAGAAGATTTAAAGATAACAAAATTAATTGTTATTTCATCAATGCTAATGGCATTTTTCACCTATGTGATTTCTATGTACACATTTCTTCGGAAGTAAGTTATTGCTGTTGTTGCTTGATTTTACTATTATTATTATTATTTATATGATCTATTCAGCTTTGCGTTTGAATTTTTCTTTCAAAAATTTCATTACGAATGGTTTGCCAGCTTGCTAAATAAATTGCAGATTCACAGACAAATCTTCATTGCTTCATCGGTGGCTGATTGAAGTATACTAGGGGTAAATAGTTATTGTTTCTGAATAGGCTCAAACACCTCATAGTATTCTAGTTTGTTCTAAGCTATGTGGCTCATTGGCGTGAGAACTCGACTACCAACCACCTACTGAGGTTTGAGCAGCCGGGTAATATCACTAACCCTCTTTCTTTCGGACACACATGGTGTCTCATTGCAAACTGCATGGTATTTCAACCGGTTGTTGAGTTACACTTCATTTCTTTACATTTAATCACTTTAAAAAAAAATCAATATCGTTATCAAATTGTTGACATATTATTTCAGAAGTACATCATAGATATTTACCGTTTTATATTAAAGTGAAAAATTCTTTGAACATTTAGTATGCACAGTGAAGTATGATGAGCTCTTTTAGATATGATATAGGCATTCCTGTTGTCACATTATGTAAGTCAATATAACTGCAAATTAAGCATACTGATTTATTTAATGGAAGACTAGTAAACAACGAGCATGCATCAAGTGATAACATGGTTTTTCCAGTAACATTAAAATAATTAATAAAATCAAAAGTTTCATACAAAAAATAGCTACAGGCTTGTCTTCTTAATGATGCCAAGATTTCTTCTACCCATTTAACTACATAATGATACGGTGAACCTGACATGTCTAAAATGAGAAAAGTTGGTAGTCCAGGTTTATGAACTTTCATATCATTATTACTCTAAGTGGATAACAGAACTCTTGAAACCATCAATAAGACAAGTCCGTGGCTATTCTTTCTATAATACTTTTGAATGAACAATTATTTATGGAAGAACAGAATATGAGGAATGTGGCAGAGTATAATTGGTAACCAGACAACTATTTAGGCTTATCAGGGAAACAGGTGGTATAAGGCAAACGATAAGTGAAACAATCTTGGAGAAAAATGGCACCATAATTAGGTCCCAGGATAGACGACAAGAACGCTGGAAAAAACACTATGAGGAGCAGCTTAATTGGCCTACGGCCACGCTTAACCTGCCCAACATTCAACACCTCCCTGAGTGAGATATAAACACAGGTCCTCCGTCCTTAACTGAGGTTACTAAAGCTGTCACTAGTCTGAAACAAGACCAAGCGGCAGGACCTGATGGAATGACTCCAGTGGTATTTAAGTACGGTGGAGATAGTTAACTCTCTGCGCCAAGTAAAGTGCTAGGCAGCGTCTGGGAATCAGAGGAACTTCCGTCGGGTTGGTGTAGGTCACTGATTATACCCATTCACAAGAAGGGAGACAAGTCTTCTTGTGATAATCATAGAGGGATTGACTTGCTACCAGGGAATTATCTCGTTGACTTAGAATATGCAGACGATATAGTCCTTCTAAGCGAGGATGCTGACAAAATATAGAGTCTTTTGAACACCTTGAGCAGCAATCTTCGAATGTTTGGCATGTGATTCGCTACCGCCAAATGTAAGATGACGTTACAGGACTAGACTACACTTAGGACATGCGTTACGTATACCAAGCCATCGCCTCCCTCGACGAGCTATGTTAGCGGGTATAGGGTCAGGCTGGAAAAAAGCTAGAGGCGGTCAAACCAAAACATGGCTTTGTCAGTCAATGAAATCTACAACAGTTAGTCTAAGCCACGTAGGAAGGTGTAGACTGACTTCCTGGTTGGGGTCCTCGGAACGGTAAAAACCAATGGTTGGAAACAATTGGAGACATGGCTCAAAATCGTTCTCAGTGGCGCAGATGCATCCACTCCTTGTAACTTAAGATTTCCAATGAAACTGTTTTGTTCTTCGTTATTACTCTTCCTTTGTCTGACACCTCTGTTTACTGTCTCTAATATGCATTTCTTCTACTTTCTTCTGTTGCTTTGTGTGCTACAAGGAGGGAGTGTGGCGACTTGAACTGATGCACATATGTGGAAAGTTCTATGTCGAAAACAGACAGACAGTATAATTTCATCATAGAATAATTTTACTTGATAAAAACACGCATTGATAAAATATTACTTACTGATGACATATCGGGCTCATTGTACTGCTCATAATCATAGAAGTTTTACCATATATATAGAGAGAGGAGAGTTCTGAAATCCTAACTAGGATTGTTTATAAAACGGGAATTACGGTGGTATTTAAATCTGCAGGAACCTATTAATCTAACTAGGTAAAATAATTTAGTCTGCAAAATACCGTACAACGATTGATTGTCATATCGACTACATAGGTCAGACTAGTAGGTCCGGGTCAGTCAGCTTGTTGGAACATAGGAGTTCGGCTAAGTGCAGAATAATCGAACCCAGAAAGATGAAGGGCTGTTAGGACTGACAAGCTTCTTTGTGAGTCATGATGTGATTATAATACATGTACCGACATGATAACCTTATTGAATAGTTTTTACTTGTTTATTTATGGCTTAAATTTCCTAGGGTTCGGTAAATATAAAACTCCATGTATTTCGTCTAATAAGGGTTGTTATTTTTTCTAGTATGAATTTTGTGTCTGTCTCATTGTAGGCGATACTTTCAAGTGATCAGTTGGTTATAGTGTCGTGTTCTTGAGGTGCATTCTAGTAAAGTTAGACGGAAACCACAAATCAGTATCACTCTGTCATAACAACAGCTTAGAGAAAAACTCAGCAATCATATTCTAATAGATATTTAGACTTTAATTCATCTCATATTTTATCCGCAAAGACAGGCTTAATTAAGTGTCTAACAAACTGAGCAGTAACACTAAGTAGTACATCAAAAAACCAAAATGATGAAATGGAATAGATAGAAGAAGCGTTAGTGTTAGTGTAAAGTTCATCCAGAAGATCAAAAATGCCCACAAGGAAAATAAAGATAATAGTGAAACTAAGTAATGATAACCTTCTGGCCACAACGTGAACTCGTAGACCATTACGCCACTGGGACCCGATCCAATAGCCCATGAATTCCAACTTCTGCCAATTCACGACATAGAGCGACCACTAGCCAATGTCTTCAGTGAGTATTTGTCCTCATACCTAACCTGCAGACTATAATGAATAGTCATTCCTAGAAGTTTATATCTTTGTGAATAAACACTATGCGCACATATTAACATATATCTTAAGACTTTGATGTGGTTTTGTTCTCTGAGCTGGATGGTTAGTTTGCGAAGCTTTCATCACCTTACTGGGTGGCATCTTCAGCGCATACTTCAATTTGAAGTGAGCTTTTAGATTTCTCCACGAGTTTATTAACCATCTGTCTTGGTGACCTTGGATGTGACTGGTTGTGTATGTGGGTTTTCACATCTTCTAGGTTACTTGTATTGGAACCGGTTGTTTCTTTGACTTGAACTTTGACCCTTTGTGTGTGAAGTTTCTTTCTTATTGGTTGATAAATTTTGTTTATCTCTATGTGTCTACTGATTGATGATTCACTGGAATGCCAAGCTTCTAAAAATTCTCTAGCATTCTTGTTGTTTCCTCTGTCTAATATTTGAACGTTGGTTGTCCCAGTCGAATTGATGTCTGTGGTTGTCTGTATGGAGTGAGGTGATGTGAGGGAGTGGATATCATGTCTTTTGACGGCTAACTTATGTTCGTGGATACGAAGACGAAGGGGACGTCCACTTTGGCCAATGTAGTGTTTTTCGCAGCTGTTACAATTTATTTTGTAGATGATGTTGGTTTTATCTTCTTTGGCTGTTGAGTCTTTTGGTTGACATAGAATTGAGTGAAGCGACTTTGTTGGTTTGTGTACAACGTCAATTCCTAAAGGTTTGAAGAGTCTTGTAGTGATTTCTGAGATATGGTAAGGCGATTTTCTTTGTGTTTTCCTTGGTGGCTTTTGCTTTGATAGGTTGGCTTGGAGGTATATGTTTTTTGATGAAATTCCGTGGATATCCACATCAAAATCATCCACTTGAGCTACAAATCTTCTCTATCATATCTAAATCTTAAGGCTTATTTTAAATTTACTAAAACTTAATTGAAAGATTGTATGTGTAAAGGAAGTCACCTTTTTCACTTGCCTACACGTAGCGTCCTTTCAACTACAGGCGCCACGAATTAGGATGTCACAGTCAGCTAGTCGGAATCGGGCAATTTAAACAGACCTTCGTTGCTCTAAAATCAGTGTGTAGATCTACTGTACTCAATACAAGAGAAACATATCCAAATTTTCGAAACGAATGTAAAGCTATGCTTCCATTATACAGTTCACATACTTGGCGTTTATGTCGTCAGAACCATTTCACCTGTCTGCTGCAAAATTTCATCAACAGCTAGCTGCACTCTCTGTCTCAATAGAGAACATCAGACAGCCAGTCATCGGGAGGTATATAAGCAACTAGGAACTTCGGTGACAAACCAACCAAGAACCTTATAGCTCAACAAATATACCGAAGAAAATGGAGATTCATTAAGGAAGCCATTGAGTGAAATCACATGCACCAGACCGCTGAGTAGAACCCGAATCTCAAAACAGTGAGTTGGGCGTGTGTCTGAGGGTGACATGGAGAAGATCGTATGAGGAAGAGATGAAAGCTTGTGGGTAATCGTGGAGTCAAAAAACCCAGTGAATTGAGGACATGCTGTTGAATCTACTCTGAACTCAAGGACATAATAATAAAATGCTTATAGATTAAAGTAACTGAAGTGATTCAACTGTGTCACTCTAGACTCAAAGACTTACTTGCAATAGGTTCAAGGGAAATGGCAAAAGATTAGGCTTACTTTTGATTACTGATCAGTTTAGTCGTATTTCAATAAGTTGGAACACACACATATGCATCTAGTATGGAATAAGCATCCAGTGGTAACACCACTGAATACATGCCCCTCCGCCATCTGTCAAGTTCGATTTTTTTTAATTCATTGATAATACTGCAAAATATCCTTCGCTAACTTTTCAAAAAGAAAGCTTTTGTTTATTTAATATAATAGCAGACGATATGCTGATTGGCGTTTTCAAGCTTATTTCGAACAAAATATGCCTAGGAATCATCAGTAAGTTTTGTTTTTTCAATAGTGTCTTCCATTTAAATACTTTCAAGTCTTGTTTTTCTTAAAAATCCTAATGCCTCTCTGCCTTTAATAATAATGCGTTTAGCTCAACTCTGATACAGAGTGACATCCTACACACCGTTTTCGACATAGGCAATTGGTTCTTTGTAACTTGTGAAATTACATTATGATTTTATCTGTGTCTGAATGCATTTTGAGACATATTTCATTAAAAAGAAGTAGTCATTTGCAAAAATATAAACCGTTGTTTTTCCACTGTACTTTGGAGATATGCGTATATCTCGAATTTTAGTATTATTATTGTTTATTATTGTTCCCTTGGGTTCCTAGTGGAACATAGGGCTTCAACTGCACGTCTCCACTTGCTTCTGTCTATCTTCTGCTGTACTTTTCACCTGCATCCATGTTGTTTCAACTCCTCTTTGCACGATCTCCTCCATGTCACCCTCACACTAACGCTTCACTCGCCACGTCCCTTTCGGGTTCCACTCGAGCACTGGCCTGACCCGCGCGCGATGTCACCCAGCGGCCTCCTCAGCGAGTGTCCAATCCATCCATCTCCACATTCTCCTGCATATTTGTTGGTTGGCGATTGGTTTGTTCTTGTATTATTTCTTCTCATAGTTTCCTGCTGGTGATTCTTTCCGGCCCGTTCATCTGATCTTCAGTATGGAGCGAAGACGGTTGTTGATGAAGGTCTGCAATAGCCTGTTGGGAATATTCTTTGTGACCCATCCGCCAACTTTCTGATCCGTATAGAAGAACTGACTGACTTGATGTTTGTATTGAAAATCCGACCGAATTTTGTTGTTGATGTTGGCTGAGTGACGAAGATTTGCAGATTGATTTCAGGTTGATGAATAATGTGTTTCTCGCCTTCCCGATTCTCGCTCGATTTGACATCCTCGTCCGTTCCGACTGCATGTAGTTGAGACAACGCTCCCTAGATAAGTGAATGAAGTAACCTCTTTCAAATCCCTCCCGTTGATGGTGATTGGCGCTGGATGTTGCTGCTGCTGCTGTTGTTATTGTTGGCTGGTTATTTTCATCACCTCCGTCTTGTCTATGTTGACTTGGAGTCTTTCCTGTTTTCGCCGGCTGCTTCTTCGACCAGTTTGTCGGTTTTCGCTTGTAGGTCTTCGATTTTATGTGACATCAAGCATAAATCATGCACGCGCGAAATCCAGGTCTTCTAGGTTCCTGACGTCGGTCCAGGATATCCCTGTGTGTTCGTTTCCCACTGTCTGATGCATAATCCAGTCAGTCCACCGCGATTAGGAATATCATTGGTGATAGATAATAAGCACCCTTGTCTGACACCTGTGTTTACTCCAAACGCCTCGCTGAGTTTTCCGTTGTGGATCACTTGACATATGCCGTTGTCACACAACCAGCTGTTGAATAAGGTTGATGAATATTTGGGGTACGCCGTAGTACTCGAGTAGTTTCCAAATTACTTCGCGGTCAACGCTGTCTGTCGAAGGCTCTCTCAAATTCAATAAAGTTGAGGTAGATGTTTGATTGCCATTCCATGCTTTGTTCTGTGATGATGATGCGTTGAGTTTCAATTTGGTCAGTACATGATTTGCCTTTCCTGAATCCAGTTTGTTCTGGTCGGATATCTGCATCCAGTGCATCCTTTACTTTTCTCCAGGATGATGCGACTCAGGATTTTACTTGGCGTCGACAGGAGCATGATAACTCTCCAGTTCTTACAGAGTGAGGCGTAAGTCGCCCTTCTGTGGTAGTTTCACGAGGTAACCTTTCCCTCCTTCCAGACCTTTTGCAATAATGGAGTCAGAATGTCTGCTGTCGTCTCTGGGTCTGCTTTCAGTGCTTCAGGGAGTATTCCATCTGGTCCGGCTGTTTTTCCAGTTTTCAGAAGCTTGATTGCATTCAAGACTTCAGCTCTCGTTGGAGGATTGGTGTCAACTTGCAGTTGTGTGCGTGCTGTTGTTGGTATTTCTGGACGGGTTGCAGGTGATGGTCGGTTCAAGAGTCCTTTGAAGTGATCCGCCCATTGTTTAATCTGTTTTTCTTCCTTGGTAATTGGGTTCCCTTGGCTGTTTTTTACAGGTTTCGCTTGTGTTGATCTCTTCCCGGATAGAGACTTGGTTATCTTTCCAGCCCGGCCATCTGATCTTCAGTATAAAGCGAAGACAGTTGTTAATAAAGGTCTGCAACCTTTTGGAAATATTCTTTGTGACCCGCCAAGTTTCTGATCCGTATAGAAGGACTGATTTTATGTTTGTATTGAAAATCCGAATTTTGTTGTTGATTCTGGCTGAGTGACGAAGATTTCCAGATTGATTTCAGGTTGATGAATGTGTTTCTCGCCTTCCCGATTCTCGCTCGATTTGACATCCTCGTCCGCTCCTCCTGTAGTTGAGACAATGCTCCCTAGATAAGTGAATGAAATAACCTCTTTCAAATCCCTCCCGTTGATGGTTATTGACGTTGGATGTTGTTGCTGTTGTTGGTTGGTTATTTTCATAACCTCCGTCTTGTCTATGTTCACATGGAGTCTTGTCCTGTCTTCGCCGGCTGCTTCTTCGACCAGTTTGTCGGTTTTCGCTTGTAGGTCTTCGATTTTATGTGACATCAAGCATAAATCATGCACGCGCGAAATCCAGGTCTTCTAGGTTCCTGACGTCGGTCCAGGATATCCCTGTGTGTTCGTTTCCCACTGTCTGATGCATAATCCAGTCAGTCCACCGCGATTAGGAATATCATTGGTGATAGTAAGCACCCTTGTCTGACACCTGTGTTTACTCCAAACGCCTCGCTGAGTTTTCCGTTGTGGATCACTTGACATATGCCGTTATCACACAACCAGCTGTTGAATAAGGTTGATGAATATTTGGGGTACGCCGTAGTACTCGAGTAGTTTCCAAATTACTTCGCGGTCAACGCTGTCTGTCGAAGGCTCTCTCAAATTCAATAAAGTTGAGGTAGATGTTTGATTGCCATTCCATGCTTTGTTCTGTGATGATGATGCGTTGAGTTTCAATTTGGTCAGTACATGATTTGCCTTTCCTGAATCCAGCTTGTTCTGATCGGAGTTCTGTCTCCAGTGGGTCCTTTAATCTCTCCAGGATGATGCGACTCAGGATTTTACTTGGCGTCGACAGGAGCATGATAACTCTCCAGTTCTTACAGAGTGAGGCGTAAGTCGCCCTTCTGTGGTAGTTTCACGAGGTAACCTTTCCCTCCTTCCAGACCTTTTGCAATAATGGAGTCAGAATGTCTGCTGTCGTCTCTGGGTCTGCTTTCAGTGCTTCAGGGGGTATTCCATCTGGTTCAGCTGCTTTTTCAGCCTTCAGAAGCTTGATTGCATTCAAGACTTCAGCTCTCGTTGGAGGATTGGTGTCAACTTGCAGTTGTGTGCGTGCTGTTGTTGGTATTTCTGGACGGGTTGCAGGTGATGGTCGGTTCAAGAGTCCTTTGAAGTGATCCGCCCATTGTTTAATCTGTTTTTCTTCCTTGGTAATTGGGTTCCCTTGGCTGTTTTTTACAGGTTTCGCTTGTGTTGATCTCTTCCCGGATAGAGACTTGGTTATCTGATATAGTGTCCTCAGGTCCCTTTTGCCTGCTGCCTTCTCAGCTTCAGTGGCGAGGCTGTCGTAGAATCGTCTTTTGTCCTTCCTAGTGTAACAACAGAAGACAAGGGCCAGGCAACAGATCGTTTTATTATGAAAATCAACACGTATTTATACATCTTTCAACTACATTATTATAGACAAGCGCAGTCATCTGATTGGTTGTTTAGGTAGACAAACGCAGGCTTCTGATTGGTTGTTTCGGGATTCGTTGACAAATAGAGTTCTCTCTGCGAATCATATTTTGCCACGTTAACTTTGCTGTGATTGGTTGTTGACTCAGGCTTGTTCACGGCCCATATTAGTGACCTAGACCTTAACGTAGATTAGTGCCAACCAATCGGCTAGCAGCCTGCTCTCACCACACTCGTCCCCCCGTCAAATACGTGCGACTGAAGTCGGCTTGATCTACTTGGTGCAGGCGTCATCGTTGGCTTGTCTCGCTGCATCCATTTCTGGAGCTCGCTGACGTTCACGCGCCTCTTATTGTTCGCCATTGCAACTGTGTCTGCGTAACCCCATCTCGAAGTGACCATATATGGTCCTTCCCACTTTGGAAACTGTTTGCCTGACCCTGTCGAACATTCGTCCATACTTCGGCTCACACTTTCATATGCTGCTTTCACCCGACCTCCCAGCAGCGTCCCAAGTAGCAGCTCCATCGCTGACAGATTTTGAACGCCACTCAACTGCGCAGAAGCCTTGAAGTCCTGCCCGAAGATCCATATGTCTCCATCAAAAACAGCAGGGCATAGGCTTTCCATTTTCGGTAGGCAGCGACACCAAATGTAACAACAGAAGACAAGGGCCAGGCAACAGATCGTTTTATTATGAAAATCAACACGTATTTATACATCTTTCAACTACATTATTATAGACAAGCGCAGTCATCTGATTGGTTGTTTAGGTAGACAAACGCAGGCTTCTGATTGGTTGTTTCGGGATTCGTTGACAAATAGAGTTCTCTCTGCGAATCATATTTTGCCACGTTAACTTTGCTGTGATTGGTTGTTGACTCAGGCTTGTTCACGGCCCATATTAGTGACCTAGACCTTAACGTAGATTAGTGCCAACCAATCGGCTAGCAGCCTGCTCTCACCACACTAGCACTCTTCTTCACTTCTTTGTCCAGTGCTTTGTAAGTTGAGCTCATCGTCTCCTTCTCCTATCCGTCCTTGCATTGAATCATTTTCTCTTTCACCATTCTCCTATCTTCTATTAATTTCCAAGTGTCCGTTGAGAGCCACTCCTTGTCTTGTCTCTTCTTTCTTCCTAGAACCGTTGAACACGTTTCGTTGAGAATCGCCTTCAGAGAGTTCCAATGTCCTTCCACACATGATTCTTCAGTGATGTCGCGTAGTGTTTCCTGCTCTGCTCAGACAGTTGCAGTGAAAGTGTCTTTTGTGGTTGTGTCCTTCAGTAGTTGAGTGTTGAACTTGCATTGTGGCCTATCCCCAGCTGTCCTCGAGGCTTTTAGTTTCACCTTGAAAGTCCCTTGTACTAGATAGTGGTCTGAACCCACATCTGCTCCTCTCCTCGACCTTGTGTCCAGTAGGCTCCGTCTCCACTTTCTTGAAATTGAGATGAAGTCTATTTGGTTCTTGGTGTTTCCATCTGGTGAAATCCATGTCGTCTTGTGTGTATCCTTGTGTTTGAACACACTACCACCAATCACCAAATCGCTGAAGGCACAGAAGTCTGAGAAGAGTTCACCGTTGTCTTTCATTTC